CACAGTGTTTAGTAACAGGGATTTAAAACTGAAATTCCACTCATTTTAGGATAATCACCTTTAATTCATGCTCTACCCACCGCACCACTGTCGCCTCCCCCAAATTTAATTAGAAGACCAAATTTACAGCCCTTGTAACACATGTACATAATAAATCCATCTTGCTGAAGAGCTCTTAAACAGCACAGTGAGACAACACCACCTCCAGCAAGTCAGTTGCTTTAGAGTCTGAGCAGGTAAACGAAAAATAAACCTCCAGCATGCAGAATCATTGCCATTATTACAGCTAATACAGTTGTACTCCTAGCACTCTACATGCTAGAGCTTGTTTTGTCTAAAAAAAAAAATGCATGGGCTAATTTACTCTGAGTGGTCCTGAACTTGCAAGGCAAACCACCTGACATGTCCACCCACAACATGACTAACCATCACCTGACTCCACATGCAGAGCATAATCATGATGTCATCCCTCTCCAACCACTTCCTTTTCCCACTTTGCCCCACAGAACCCGTTTTATTCAGTCTGGGCAAACTATAAAAACAAGTCCCCAAAAATGTCAGCTATACTGATCAGAGTAAAGCTGGGAATTTTCATCTGAACTCATTCACACAGTCACTGTTTTGAAATTCCAACAGTTTCTAAATTTTGGTTTTAGGCCAGCTTTCATCCCTTAAATGTCACTGATGAGTAATGTTTATCCCTCATACCCACAAAATATCTAATGAGTCAGTTTGGACAAACTTTTGTGGTAAATGAGGTTCATCAAGTCTAACAATTTTGCTGTATCATGTTATAGGCATCAATTATTAGAGCAAAAGAACAGAGAATTTTACATGATGTGTAGTTGCTATCCTGTTATCCCAATGCCATGACTATCATCATCCCATTCCCCTATCCATAAAGTAACAATAAAGTTATAATGGAATGGAACAATCTATATTCAAATTTGAGCGTTTCAGGAGCACTTTAAGGATTCAGCAGCAGCCAGAATCACCTTCTTTCTTCTATTTCCTTTTGGGTATGGTGAGTTGAGTAGCCTTGTTTATATAGCTTTGTTTCCGTTAGGTCAGGGGCTCTCAACCTTTTGTAACTTAAGCCAACTTTTGATTGTAAAAAAAATTTCCAAGGACCACCTTACAAAATAAATGAGAAAACACACACACACACACAAAATACAATACAAAAAAACAAAAAAAACAAAACTTGGCCCTATGTGTTATGCCAATGTGGTAGCAGCCCACCACCTGGCGCTCTGATTGGTTGAGAATGCCTGTGTCAGGTTGACTTATGGTTAGTGGGAAACCCCCAGTTCCGACAGCCGCTTGAGAGGTTGGCCTCAGTGGCTTCCTTTTTGTTAATTTTGGCCAGCCTGTCATTCTTGTTTTTTCCCCCCCTATTTGCTTACTTTAATGTTGTGGTCACATTTATCTTCAGATGAAAGAAGAATCAAAAATATAGTTTATCTGCAGCTCCTTGTCTCTAAACTATGTTATTAACCTCTTAAAAACCAGAAGCTTTCTGAGGGCTATAACAGGGCCAAACAGTCTGAGAAGATACCAATTCAGAGGGAGTGTGGATTAACTCTGAAAGTGTGTTAGAAAGATTCTGCAAACCCCCTAAAGGTACATTTAATTTTCTCTCACTGAAGTAAGTACAGTGTACGACATTGCTAAGGCATGTAGAGTGAAGCTGGCAGGGGTGGGGTCAGGCATAAAAGTATTCTTCTTTAGGCCAGGGGTATCAACAAGGCTATCATATCAGTTACTCGTCTGCTATAGGAAGACCCAAGAGAGCAGCTATCAATTTTAACATTTAACCCACAAGAAGTAATTTTTACAAAAAACTCTAATGTTCATGCAGGCCCAAAATATGGTAGAGGTACAAACCTACAGGGTAAGTGGAACAATGGCACACACTGACCTAATGTAGCGGTAAATTTCTGCACAGCACAATATGCTCTCTGAGTTAATTTGACCTGAATCAACCTAAGGAGTGTTTAGGAGGAGACCACCACCTTTCATTTAACTCAAGCCTGTGCTTTGACTCCCACTTAGTCTTGTAGTATCTTGAAAACATTATTGGTGCTCAGTTACACTGAGCGGGACAATGGGGAAATGAAAAACCCAAGAACAAGAACAAACATGTGATTTCCCCCCCCCCCACACACAGCAGAATGTTTATCAGGATCCAATTTAATATCACTCAAATGATCAGACTGTGTTGGTAAAGACTTGCAACTGCAAGGAAAAGACATCATTAATGGGCTGAGCTAGCAATGCTGTCTTTGTACAATACATGGAGATATTGTTGGCCAAATATCAATATCAAATAAAAATTTAAGACAGTGATAACGCTCATGGTCATTTATGCCTACCAGTAACATTTTTTACAACCTGTGGCTAGAAGACGAAGACCCTTAACTCCTGTTCCACAGTTCTCACCAAACTGGAACCTTGGACAGCCTGATATATTTCACATAGAAAGCAACATATACTGTAGATTCCCCAGTTTTCACTATAGTAGCCTGTTAACAACTATCGTATTTGAGAAATGTATATTTAGGTTATGTACAATTCTGAACTAAATCTATTCACATAGATATTAGTGAAGCAACATGTTTTGATTGAATTACACAGTGACTTTCATTTTCAACGAGGTTAAAACATGACTCACTGTTAAAATCCCACATTAAAGTTTTAGATGACCTAATAAAAAGTTATAGTGGTGCAAAGCAATGTGTGTAGTTATTCTCCATGATGTGTCATTATAATGAGTTCTGTTTGATTCTTCTCTTCAAATAATAATGCTCAGCCTTTTAAGAGATTCAAGCTATTGCATCCCTATTTTAGGCTAATACCAAGTTAATATTATGATGTCATTGGTCTCGCTATTGTACTTGTGTGTCCTTCTTGTACTGATATTAGATCTGTGACTGTGGGGGATTTTCCCAGAATGAGACAGGGGGAGTCTGGCTGAAAAAAGGGACAGATCATAACCACCTTGCTCTGGTCCGATGCACATACTGTACATACACACACAATGTCTCAAAAACCCGCTGATGAACAAAAAGGGAAAGTCCGAACGATAAAATAAGAATGCCTATATGTGAGATTCCTCTCGGATTCCATTTTCACTTTGTGGGAAAAGGGGGATTCTTGTGGTTTTCCAGCAGTTTGGTATGTTGGAAAAATAACCAAGGAATCATAGATCTTTGCTCAGTAGAGCAGCCAAATTGGAAGCTTATTTAGCCTCCGGTTTTTAAATCCTTGTTGCCCACTGACACCATTTAAAACAACTCTGTGCTTCTCCCTGCTTGGCTCCTTATTTTTGCCAACACTGCTGTCTGTGAGCTCCTGTCTGTGGCTAAGTTTTTCTTACCTCATGGGTCCTCAGTTGGAAGTTTTTCCCTTCATGGTAGCAGTTATAGGTTCTCAGCAGTGACAAGATGTCAGACCTTAATGTAAACACACAACAACAAAGAAAAGATTAGCATGGTGATATCACTTTACTGTACATATACCGTGCAGTGAGGAAACTAACAAGACTTACTTTGGTATAAGTTTCTCATCACTGAGCTTTACACAGGTCCGATGCTCACCCATTCTGACTAGAGCCCAGCTATAGCAGAACAACATGAGAGACAAATAATAAAAAGTACGTGAAGATTGTATCAACACTTCATGTGTAAACTTGAGCAATGACTGAGTCTATATAAATATTAATGTACATATGAAAAAATAACCACAATTATGCTCAAAAAGAAAAATATTTTTGACCATGTATATAACAAAATAAATGATAAATATAAAATAATATGCACATTAATTGTGCTGCTAGTATTTAGTTTGAGGATTTGAACATGTTTTAATGGAAAACTGTTGAGGTAATGGTCCTGTGTTAAAAGCAGGGCAAGCTGAATTAGAAGAAGTCACATGGTTTGACTCAAAGCCAGACTACTAACACAACAAAGCCCTGGAAGAACAGTGCCTTCCTGTGTCATCAAGCATAACTCCTGCTTCTGCAGCCAACTTTGTATATGCAGTTAGCATTCAGTCCTCTCTCTGGAACACCAGTCTTTTTTGTTTTACAAATTCAGTGCACAGTAAAAAGGGACAGCATTCTATGCACATACCCTCATACCTACGTGGGCTTTTGCTGTGCAGACCCCCCACGCAGACAAACTTTTGGCCTGCACGGGGGCCTACGGACAGAGTCCATGCAGACCCTGGCAGACCTGAGGAGGTGGTGAAAATTATGTCACTTGACTTTAGCAGACATGCAGACGCACAAAGCACGATAATGGTGTGGTTATACTCGATTCTATTCATTTTTTTGCATGTCCGCTAAGGTTGAGAACATGGGTTTCAGGTAACAGAACTTCCTCTGTCACTATAACATACAGCTCAGCATTGTACTGTCCAGGGAAATTAGAGGGAAATTTGCCTTAACTAGACTATAACTTTTAAATATAATGAGTTGTACTGGCTTAGTGGGACAGCTGAAACTGCATCTGAGCCTCAGACTAACTTTGGAGAGAGTTTTTGTGCAGAACAAAAGCTACGTATTTTGTCCCTCATTTTTTGCAGCATAGTCACGTTCTGTATAGAAACATTCAGGGTCAATGTAAAGAGTAGGAGAAGTGACAAATTCTAAAACCTATTCTCATGTACATAGGAATACATCAAGATTGTTTTAACACCAGCTTGAAAAATCCCACACTACTCTTTTAACAGTTTAGAACGGATTTGGGATTTTTTTTGGAAAACCCTGCTCTGAAGAAGCAGGAAGGAGCACGAGTATAAACAGTGGCCGAGCCTGAGATCATAGTGTGGGTGGGCAGAAAAGAGGGTGAGCCTCTTCTATTGGTCACACATTGATTATTGACTGCATTTCATTGGATGACCGGCTTTTTTCTCTCCTAACTCTTTTGATTGGGTAGGCCTGGGGTCCAAGTGGGTGGGCCCAGGCTCACCTACATTTATAAAACAGCAACGTGGTTCAGGAGGCAGTGTCAACTCTAAGCTTGTCTCCAGTATGAAGCTTTATCCTCACTCAGTCTATCAGCTCGCCTTCCTGAGCCTCTGCTGTTTACTGATCACAGGTAACGTTCTACACATTAATCTACAATATGCTTTGATATCTGTGTTTTTCTTTGATAATATCTGGATACAGTAAATGTCAGTAATGGTTCTTATTTGGGTCAAAGTGTCTGACCGTGTAAACCCTCAGTAACTGTAATCTCGGCTCATGTTGCACCATATTAAAATAACCTGTTAATCCTGTTACTGTGTTTTCCAGTAAGAGACTCAGACAGTTCATTTGTCCCGGGAAGATGTTTGTGTCCAGAGACGCAAGCAGGTATCAGAGGGCATCTGAAAGAGCTCACAGTCTTCCCAAAAAGCCCCAGCTGTAACAAATTCACAGTCATGTGAGTACCAGATCCTGCAGACACACACATTCACACACATGTGTATCCAGACAAGTGAAACTAAATGTGTGGGTTTACATGTGTTTTTCAGAGTAACACTGAAGAACAATCAACAAGTGTGTCTGGATCCAGAGGGAGCAATGGGCAAACAGCTCATTCGCTGCTGGAAAAGGTGAGAGCCTTGATCAGTGAAACGCATCCATTAGCAAACTACCACGCACACACCTACTAAGGGTATGCACAGCAAAAGGTACTCTCTGTAAAGTTTTCATGAGGAGGAATCATTTAATCGCTCACTGTACAAGTGAAACTCTGCAATCACCTTCACACAGGACAGGAGTGATATGAAATATTCTTTTTACACAACAGATTGCAAAATAGTCAATGTCCTATTTGGTTACAGAGGGGCTCCGCCCAAATTTTCCGTAAATCAGGGCCAAAAAAAAAAAAAATCATTTGTTTCCAAGCCAGGTCTTGAAGAAGCACCTAGCTCTGCAGTTCCCTCATCTTTCCTGCATGTTTAGCTACTTTTGAGTCAGTGTGAGCTATTGTAATATAGTGGTAATCAAATTTTGTATGGGAAGCTAAATTTGTAAATGTGTATAGATAGATAGATAGATTCTGCTACTGCACACAGTGTATCCAAATATTTAACCAAAAGAAAATGGAATACACTCAAGTTCATGTAATAAATATAGATGCATAAACCCCCCCCCTTGGCAGAGGTCTCATTTTAATATCTGATATGAAACTTTGTGCAGGGCTATCTATCCTCATCTCTACAGTGAACTGCATTTTGTACTCCTTTATGTGTTTTCTAGATCTCATTCGATGGGTCGTGATGCAAAGCTGTGCCTGAGGAGGAGGAGGAGAGCGAGAGGTCAGCGTCAGAGGCCTCGACAGAGGAGCCGGGGTCACAGCAGAAAAGCCTCAGCCTTGAAATCCCAGTAGTCATTCAGCGTAAACGATGCAAAGCTTCTTCAAGGACAAACATGTGCACACACGGACTCTTCCCACGTGGGTGGATGCCACTGGCCATTAAAAAAAACATGGCAACATGCTACCACTTCTTTCTATAAACATCACACAGCTCAACCTAACGCTACCTTTAATTGCTGTCTGGGCTGCAAATCAAACTTGTTTTACAACGACAGCAGCTTTCATGAAACTGACTTATGTAATGTTGAAAATGAAGCCCTGGAGGCTTGTTTTATACTGTTTTAGCTTTAAGTGGACAATGTATTGTTCATGTACTGTATATAGTTCTGTGCATACAGTTGGAAAATCTAACAGCATTTCATTATTTATTTTTGTATGAATATGGACATTTTTCAGACAGTCTTTTTAAAATAAACAGGCCTATGTCAGAAATATAGTGTGACTGGGTGTGCTATTTATTGTCATGCTCCTGACTTTCTTTAAAACTGAAAGATAGAACAAATGAGTACTTCCTTGGCAGGATATAGGAGGTCAGCCTCAGATTTAGTTAATAAACTACAGGGTTAGAGTGTTGTATTATAATGTGTAAATATCCATCCATCCATTTTCTTTACCGCTTAGTCCCAAACGGGGTCACAAGATGTGTAAATATATTTTAAAATGTTTGACAACACAATGAATTGTGCTTATCACAGGTTGTAATGTTTTATACTTCTGTTATCTGCTGTTGCACAATACACAACGAGCAATCACAATCAGGTTTTCAGAGTGTGGACTGATTGAAGTGAGTTTATGGGGGCTAATAATGTCAGCTCTGATGTTTCTTGTATAGCATGTGACAGGACAGACAACAGTGAAGATACACACTTACACACAGCCTACATTTGCAGTGCCATCACATCAATCTGGGTAAAGGTGGGTAATGAAAAGTAAATAACCAAGGCATGTGTCAACCTGCTTTTTTTTCCTGGCACTGATATGGGTGGTTGCACAACTGTTATGTGATCGCATGCTCACTCAACAGAGGACATTATTAAAATAAAAAGTGAAAATAAACTGCTCAATAAGATCGCCAGGCGGTCATTTAAGGGGCTTTCCGGATCTAGTTGGCTGCCTTCTGAGTCAAATGTTATTCATCAATGACGGATTTCGACAAGGCCCTGTCAGCAGGCTGGTCTCCTGATGCCCAGCACAAACCCTCATAAAATCAACATAACCAAGTACTCAAGTAGTTTATAATTTATACAGAAACTCTATGTTTCATGCCACTACATTAATGTGACAACTATAGATACTTGTTGCTTTGTTAAATAACTACTCAACCACACAGCAGATCATTAATTAAGAATGACTTTTGTTGTGATTTGGCACTATACAAATAAAATTTGATTTGATAACGCTTTTACCTTTAGTGCTTCAAAGTATTTTCTTAACAATATCTCTGTACTTATGTATAATCTGGCATGCAGAACTTGTAATCGTTTACACTGTGATATTGCTACGTTTATTTAAGTAAAGGAGAGTTTATGTTCAGAACAATAACTACCAACTATGAAAAAATGTTTTGCCTTATTGACTCATAAACCACAGGATTGCTTCACACTGTCTGCACCTCATCACACATTTTTCAGTAAACACTGGCAACTTTTAGTAGCATGTTTTTGTTACTCTCAGTGTAATGATATTGTATTTATTAGTAATATATAGTTTTTTTTGTTATCTGAAATAAAACTTTAATGTAGGTAAGGTAATGTAATTTTGAGCCTTTTTTTACATCAAAGGTCTCATGTTAGGATTTTTCTCTAAGAGTTTTAAGACTATAGAAATAAAGAAAAAGAAATGCCACATCTTTTACCTGTTTCAGCTATAACACACTGTAAACTGCGAGTTTAATACTTGCTCTTATAGAGAGTAGCTTACCTGAAATTGGCCATCTGTGTTTCTACATGATCATGATGTTGATGTTACAATGGTGCCACCTAGTGGATGTCATTGATATTGTATTCCACTGTAGCAGCACTCAGTGATGACCCATTAAGCAAAACAGACAATGTTTCACTGTTTCAAATATATAAGGAGTGCGAGTTCTCTTCACACAGACAATACCTTTAGGAGCATATGCCAGAAGGATACTAGAGAGTTTTGATATAATCTTTAACCCACAGTGCTACTGGCTCAGCTATTCACTGGGACTTTCTTGGGATCCATTTAGTTGTTGCATCACGTGGTCACACAATGTGATTGTTTTGCATTTCGTAAACCTGAAACGGATGTTTGTTCAAGAAGAAGAAGAAGAAGAAGAAGAAGAAGAAGAAGAAATGCTGGCACAAGCATTAATAGTCACCACATAAACCAGGAAACTGCCTACTGTCTGACTGGGAAGTGATCTCTGGGGAATGAGGTGTAAATTCAGCTACAATGAGCACAACAGCTGGAGACAAGACTCTTAGATTTGTCTCACTTCTGATCCTCTTATTACAGCTGAAGATTAAAATCCAAATTCAAAATCCTCTAATGGAGTTGCTAATCATCTACATAAAAAGATGTTTATGACATTAACATTCATTACTGAGGCAGTAGCATTACCTACCAGCCCTCCCCCCCTTAAATGCCCTCTGCCCACTTTCTCTCTCATCCAAGGAGACAAAATACATGATGGGATGGTTAGTCTCTCTTTCATACATATTTATACATTATAATGAATATATAAATATTCCATAACTAAGATTAAAGCCTGCCACCATTATTATACATTATTCAGAGTATGGACCAAGGCGTACAGCTGTGCAGATGAAAACAGGGTTTAATTTATTGGGTTATATTGGGATTTTGGTCTTTTGGACATTTTTGTCTGTCTCCTTCATGGGTCTTGTTTTTTCTCTATTGTGATAAATTGCCTCTGTGCGTGAACAGCCTTGGTGGACAAAGAACCTTCATTGCAGATCTGTTAATTGGTTCGATTATCGCGAGACTGGTGTCTAATTATCGCACCTACACTGACAGCTGCGCCCGCGTTCCAATCGCTAAAATATATCCAGGTGAGCTCCAAATAATGAACCTAATGCCAATTCTGGCAAAGCATTTCATACAAAAGTCAACATTTCGAGACAAACGCTAGCCAGAGAGAGACATTTATCAGCAAATCACTTGATGATGAATGGTCTATTTCTATTACAGCAATAACGGTGTGGTTTTATTGGAGCAGGCGAGTACGACAGGTTAAAGCTGACAGGAAGGAAAGTTTTTTTTTTCCACATCAGTCACCACTACATTAGTATTCTGAAATGCAAACCTTAATTGACCCCGGTAGTTACCCGCATCCAACTTCAAAACATCTTTTGTTATCCAGAACATTTAGGTGTTTTCAGTGTTCAGCCTCATGATTGCAGGTGGAGCTCCCTCCCGATCTTTTCGCATAAAAAGATATGTGATCAGTTTGGGTCTTACCATAGCAGACTGCCTCCCCCGTATTCTTCCGTATATTCGGCAGCGACGTATCCTTCTTATCGTGCGTCGTTATCAGTCTTCATGCCTCTCTGGCGGTGCGGTATTCAAGCCGAGGGATAAAACTGACAACAGGATAATCCAATAGAAGGCGCGCACTGCTACGTCCAGCCACGCGCAGGCGGGGCGACTAGAGTTTTGGTTGCAGATCTGTAGCTCAGGGGCAGACTCACCACAAAACTGTACATAGCTCACTATATATCAATAATTTGGATGTTGAAAATCACTGATTTCTTTCAGACCACAGAAATAATATTTTAAACAAACAAGCAGAAGGATTGACCCTTATAAATTGTTTATATCCAGTTTATACTTTGTGTTACCTTTTTAGTAGATTTAGTTTTATTTCATCTTATACTTTCCCCTTTTTGTCTTATAGATATTTGGACTAATGTGTAATGTGAATTGTTGTGTTGTTGTGTGCAATACCAAAGGGCCAGTTCTCCACATGAATCTACACATTCCTCTTCACATTAATGCACAGCCACCACTAAAGTATCTCTGTTTTGCTAATTCAGTAGTGAAGAAGTCTCTGTGACCTATTAAGATTTATTTCACCCATCCTGTTTTTGAGCCTGGATCTGCCATCTAAAAACTATTACAGGCTGGAAACAACCTGTAGGAAGTCTCTGTTTCTCTGAATAGGATTTATGGTTTAACATGCACAGAGGAAGTTCGTTGTTCCAGCAGCTGAATAACTTCCTTCACAGAGACCAGCTCATTCTAGAGGATATGGACACAACAGGAACATTTATGGAAGTGGACTGGAAATAGTGACACTCTTTTCCTCTCGTCTGTCATCACTGGGTCACACAGCTGCTAATTAACCAGAGACCATCCTGGGGGAGAACAATACATTAAGCTCCAGTGAGCGGCCACAACAAACTCTGGACAAAGATTCCTTGCTGTCTCTATAAACCTTCAGAACATCTCATCCCTCCTGACTGGATTCAAATGTCATGTCTTACATATATTGTTAAAAAAAAACCATGCATGACGCCATGTAGCTGCTGGAGATGTATACGTGTCAAACCTAAAGGCCGTTTATGTGCATGTATGTTTTCACATGTTTGCTGTCTGACCTCAGTTCACAGAGAGGTGCTTCCTGCTTTTATTGATTCTCGCTGTTGCTTTGATGCTGCAGAGAGAATACCTCTTAAGGCTACATACACTTATATACTGTACCTACTGTTTACTGAACAAAGAACTGAGGAATACAGCTTGTGTGTGTATGTGTGTGTGTGCTGACAGAACAAAACAGTGCTGATTTATGACCTGAACAAAAGAGAAACGTTTGTATGAAGAAATGTATTCTTTTAAACATAAAAAAAATCTAATGAACTGTTAATACAGGCTTTTTATACTTACTTTTGTATCACAAATTAGCTAATTTTAGGGTGATTTTAAGGTGTTTGGGTGTGATTCACTAATATTGTCAGTGCACAGCATATGACATATATGCATCAATAATACTTGTGGTTATGTTTGGTGTGTTACACATTAGATATGTTTAGGCCTATGGCGGCACTCTGGTGGGTGCGTCTCTCGTTACCATTCTGACACAAGCACTCCTCCCAGAGCTCCTCCCGTCTCCATGGTCACCGCTCACACATGACAAACAGACAATGAGGAGACTTGAATATGACTAACACCTGCACCTGCACTAGCGCTAATGCATATCTCTCTAATTCACATTCATGCATATTTTCTTTGATGCTAAATGAATGAAACAGTTGATCTAATTTATTACCTTGTGAATAATGTATGATGCAGTAACTAGACTGGACTGCTAGGCATTAATGTCTGCTTTTAATGAGTCTTTGCAGACTGAAAGCCATCCACATACACATGTAGGTATAAATTGTTTAATTTCTTTGAATATACAGTATATATATCTGAAGTTGTTAAATTATTAATAATAGATTTCACACAAGAATATTTCATGTTGTACACAGAGATTGATCTTTTGTATGTAAAATATATACACATCAGTATAACATTTCACAAAAAAATCTAATACTTTTTTAAATTTTAGGTGCATAATTACATAAAATACAGCATGTTTAAAAGTCTTATTTTGACTGGCCAGACATTTTATAAAGGTATTTTCAGCCCCAGGGCAGCTTATGTAGCTGCTTCCAGTCCCCATGAATACATTACACATGCTTTCCATTGTGTGATATCAGAAAGGCGCTCAGTCAGTAATCATAGGTGCAGTGTCTGAGGTGTCTGGTTCTAGCTCATAGTAGCCATCCATCTCCATCACGCTCTCTGCAGGCTCCTCCCTATCTCTGAAACATATCTGTCTCCTCTCTTTCCAGCTCTTCTGCTCCCTGCCTGTGTCTTTAGCTGTCTGCTCAAGATTCAGCATGGCCTGGATGCTCTCTCCTCTCTCTCCTAGACTGAGAGAGGGGTCTTGGGTGGTGGGAGCCAGTCCGCCTCCTCTCCTTCCTGTTATACAGACAGTGGCCAGGTTTTGGTCACCGTAGCTTTCTTGTGGCCTTTTGGGAGACTTGGGTTTTATTTTTTTGCTCAGTATGAAGTTGAAAAAGGCTGTGACCAGAAGCATTGTCCCTGCAATCATAAAGTATTTTATAGGCTTTTTTCCCCATTGAAAACATTTTGACATGATAAAGTAAAATTAAAGATGGTTGAATTCCATTTAGCTGCTTCAGTTTCAGGACCCTGCTAAAGTGTATGCTGGCTCACGGTCACATTTTTCTAACAAATGCCTGCTAACAGTAGAGTAAACAATGCTGTAATTATTAGTGAAAGTACTGTACCTGCTGTCACACCATGTTACCTGGGATAATTGCATGCCACACCAACATAGGGTGCAAGAAGCAGACCAGTGACATGATGGAGTAATAGAGAAATTTATGGAATCCACCAATTCTAGCCATCTTTCCCAACAACATGAAGAGCTGCCAGTCTGGCGGACAGCTAGAGAGACAAAGGGGAAGAAGAAGATTTATATTTATACTACAGTATTCATGTAAAACATAGATGTGGCAGATAATTGTTGGGTACTCACGGCAGACATATGAGCAGGACAGTATCCAGGAAATAAGCCAGCTCAAACACCATGACGCCAACAGATGATACTCTGGGAAAATAAATGTGTTTAGCCTGATGAGACTGATACAGTCCTGGTGATCAAATCAGCTTTTTGGCTTTGTGCTTTTGTTTATTGTTTCCAGAAGTACAAAGCTTTGTGTTTTTGTTTATTGTTTCCAGAAGTACAAAGTGTGCATTACATTATCCTATGACAAACAACAAAATGAAAATGTCTTCATTTTATTGTGATAGTAGCCTATCAACTATATACAACAAAAGTCTTGGTAGTTAGGAGTACTTTGTTTCTATACAAAAATAGATGCGTCCTTCTCTGTTTTGTGTTTAAATAGTCTGATAAGCATTTAATCCACCGAACATCAAAATGCCCCAAGGCTGACCATCATTAAATACTGCCCTCTCTCTGAAGAGAATTGCTGAGTTGTGTGTTTGTGTGAGTGAGTGCAGCATTCATCTGCATGCGTGTGTACCGATGGAATAAACAGTCATGCATTTCTGGTGTCCTTTGGGAGCAGTTTTCCTGTGGCTCTGTGGGAGTTTGGCTGCGAGCCATAGAGAAGATGATTTCTTTTTCTGCCCTCTGCACCTTGACTCCTTCCCAGTCTTTTCTTGCAAATATTTGTTTACTGTGTGAGTGAATATGAAGGCAGGAAACATACTGTAATTGTTTTCTAAATGCCCTCGGGTTACACATTCATTCTCATAATTAAGATGGTCTGATTGTAACTCTGCAATGCCACCGGTTCAGTCTCAAACAGGGTCAGTGCTGCTTTGGCAGGTTTAAATTAATAGATAACAGAATCTGAGAACTTACATTAGGTAGATGCCAAGGCTGCTGAATTCTCCCTGTCGTAGGGTCTCCAATCCCACAGCACACAATACTGGAAAAAAAGATAATAGGAAGATATTTTCCTTTTTTTCTGGGAGTTAATGGTGAGCAGACTGTCCACCAGATGTCAGACTAAGTTCACCAAGTTTACTGTTCTTTGGCACATTTTGAAATATGCCTTTCTCATATTGCTTTCAAGGAAGTTTTACTGTATCCCTACAGCCTCATTGCTGTGATGATTGAGGCAGTTATGAGTAACTTATATAAAATCCTCGCTAAAGTGACCTAAACTGAGCCACCGACCTTCCAGAGGGTAAAAATCAAACCAATGATGTATGTTCTATACAGATAAAAAACATTTTATTTTGCCAATTGTTGCAGTTTTTTCAGTCATTGTCACAACATTTCAGTAACAGTTACTCAGGCTTGCAATTATATAAGTATAGTCAGCAGACTAAACATTTCTTAACTCTTTCTTATTATTATTATTGTTATTATTTTGAATAGGCATTTCACAGATTTTTTTGGCAGTGAACCACAGTCAGAACATACTTAAATATTTTATCACTTATATGTGAAGTGGTCACTATAGTCTGTTCATACCCAGTCTTTCTATCTTACAGCTTGGGCGTATGAGTGATAAATAAGCATATTGGCATTTCCTTTATTCTTCTAGTTACACTTAGTCTATGTAAACGAAAGTGCACACCATGAGTTTCTCACTTCTTCTTTTTATGCACGATCAGCCTTGCTGCACTGCCTATGAGCAAGAAACTGTATGTTTTCTAAAGCAGCCTTGAAACTCTGATCTATAACAGTTGTAGAATAAGCTTTTCCTGAAGGACTCAATCAAGTAGTAGAAGAAGCTTTTCCTGAAGGACTCAATCAAGTAATTGAATTGATCTATAGGACTACTTCCAGCATTGCCACTAAAGGAATAATATGACATTTTGGAAAGTACACGTATTTGTGTTCCTTCCAAGAGTTAGATGGGAAGATCAATATCACCCATATGACTATATGTTGAATATCAAACTCCTACCAGCAGCTGCTTAGCTTAGCTTGGTATAAAGACTGGAAACAGCTAGCCTGACTTTGTCCAAAGGTAACACAGCCCAACGCCCAGCACCTCTAAAGCTCACCACTTCACTTGATGCAGTATTTCTCATTATATTTTGTCATTTTGTTATTGTGCTCTGGTTTTACAGAGGTTGTGTGCTGGACTAATTCTTGGTCAGGCAGGGTAACCTCCTAGCTAGGCTGATAGGTTTTGTCACCTCTGTACAGACCCAGGCTAGCTATTTCCCTCTGTTTCTGGTCTTTATGCTAAACTAATCTAAAATGTTTGTAACTGCATATACAGTATTTATGAGGGTGGTACAAGTCTTCTCATCTAATTCTTAGGAAGAAACCTACAGCGTCAAGCTTTGCTTTATTGTGAAGATTCCTGACAGCAAAACACTTTTGACAGTGACACCTGGAGGAACAATATTAAATTATGAAAACAAAGTCTTAAAAACGGTTTTTAGTATTAACCAATCTTTTTCCTCTGAGGTATAAAAGAGGTAAGCATCATTAAGTGGTGACTGCCATGAAACACACTGAAAGAGTTTATTTTGCTTGCTTACCAGAAATTCAGAGATAGGTTCTGCACTAGAGAGAAATCAGGGCAATGGTTTCAGACTGTGACAGGAATTAATGCTGCACATAAACCAGCTGAATATTAACATAGTGTACATGTGCTCTGTGCATATGCAGTACAGTACGTTTGCCTATAGAAAACACACAGAGGCAGACATGCTAGCAGAACACACAGGTAGACAGACACACACACACACATGTAGGTGCGAATGCATAACAGCTTGTGATCACACAAGCCGAGTAACCCAGCTGGATGCAGAGAGTTGATTTTAGCGCCATGTGAGGCACATGTCTTCAGTAAATGTTCACTGTTTGCAGCTGTTTGAATTTAACTGGAGAGGGGATTCATATTTTTTGAAGGAGGCACCAAACAGAGAGCTATTTCCCCTGTGATGATTTAATGTGGCTAAGAGAGAGCTGTGTGCAATTTGCCTGAGGAAGACTAAGGAGGAGGGACAATAATACTATGGTGATCAAGTATGTTTTCATATCCCCCACATATTAAAAAATGGTCTGGAGTTTTTTTTAGGTCAAGAATACTGTTGGCTAACATCACTGTCTGACCTTCTAGGTTTAGGAAACCCTTAAAAAGCCCATGGGGGTAACCCTCCCCTGCAGGAGATCTTAAAATGTTTCTAAAAAAAGGTAACATTCTGGAGACTGAGGGTGACAAAAGCTATTTCAGAACAGACAAAGGGTCAGATATCAGCTTTGAACAGCAGGCTACAACAGATGCTGACAGACAAAATGTATAACTGCTGTTACTACTAATAAACTAAAGTTCAACTAAAGTTTAACTCCTCATTTGTAATTTTAGACAAGTACAGAAGTTCTGACTCTTCTGTTACAGAGAGTATTCTGGTACGTATCCTCCAGTGTAGCCAAAGAATTAAATCATGCTCATAATAAAACAATAAGTGATACACGTGACTCTAAATTGAATCTTACTATATTTCATTTGTTTGTTTTTATACCTTACCTATTGCTGTAGAAACACCAAGGATCCTGCAGGCACACTCCACCACAATCCACCAGACACTCGTTAAGTTCCCCATGACCTCAAATACTTTCTCCCTTGACTGTTTAAAAATATAACCTCCACACTCCTCTGATCTGAAATAGTTGGTGCCCTAGAATTCTAGACACAGTTGTCAGCTAGAAAAAAAAGTTGGGTAATCCATGAGTGCCATGAAGTGAAGACTGGATAAGTTTACTTCGGAACTATTTGTTGTTCAATGCCCCTGTTGCTCCAACAACTGCTAATCAGCCTCGTTAACACAAAATACCACTTTCAGCTGGTTTAAAGTTCCACCCTTGTATATCCAGGTGAAAGTGCTCACCTTAGAGTCAACAACACATTTGTCATTGGAGCTGGTTAAAAATTATCTGTGAAGAATTCATGTAAAACTAAGTCACACATACACACATGCACATATTCAGAATTTGCAGTAATTTATATGCAACCTTCAACTGCAGAGTGACCTTGTTTCCTAATCAAAAAATGTCTCGTCTCGTCCTTATTGTTTTCTTCTGTGTAATTTCACCTTGCTGTGTGGATTGACTTGATTCAGGGTAATCAAACCACCAGAAAGATGTTTTACTTTTTCAAAGGCCACAGCCATACATGAAGCTTCCAGTCTGCGACACTGAGTGACCACTGACAAAATAAGCTGCAGGCATGGCTTGCATCAATAAACAAAAACCATTCTTTACACTCTGAGAAATATTAAACAAGTTCCACTTAGTGTGCAGTTTAATGCACCACTGACTCTGCACGTTGTGACTAGTGCAACAATATGGGATAAACTGCTACAAGAACTGACAGACATGCTTTGATAAAAGTACATGTGTAACTGCAAGCCCATAGGAGAGGTAAGCTTGCTCAGGCACAGCAGAGGTCTGTTGGAATGAGCAATCAGAGTTATAGTGTAAGCACACACACACACACACACACACACACACACATACCCACCCCTGGTAGAGGTCAAAGTAAGCTACATAAATCCCCTTAATTCTCAACAAAGACACGTTTGTGTTTTTTGCACTGGTTTCAGCTTAGCATTCAGGTCATTTGTGCCATTTATAGGACAGTAGGCCTAGTGTGCTGTGAGTGTGCATGAGCAATGCAGCAAACACTATTGATACTAGATGTCATGACAAATTGCAGTGCATTTAGTACTGAATGGGATGGCACAGAGCTGACTGTTAATACTATGAATACCTAGAAAGGTATATGTATGGACATATTTTGGGTTGTCAGGCTGGTGTATACTATCCTTTAGCATGAGTTTATCTTTTATCTGGCTTTTGCATTAATCAGGAAGCCCCCCCACAAGACATTTTAACCAGTTACCTCCTAGAAAAGAGCTGCACAGCATCAAGATTAAAACTGAAAGCTGCACGCATGATGGTTTATTTTGCTCTTATTAGCTATTTGATCACTTAATGACTGGTAAATGGACTACTTTTATATATTCCTTTATTATATTACACTGTGCATTTTATTCAGCCACATATTCATGCTTACACACCAATGTGAACAGAGGTAGGCCTACAATCCAAGGCACTGAATTAGGAGCAATTGAATTAGGAGCAGTGTCCTTCTCAAGGAAACCCTGATATGTGGACAAGCAGAGCCAGGAAATGAACCTCAGACCATGTGGTTAATGGAGAACTTGTTCTATCACAGAAGCCATGATTACATTGTAGCATACATTCACTATAACACACTACAAAAATGCCAGGACCACCCACTTTATGTGATTTCACTGACAAAAAGAGAAAAGCTTTCTGAAGCATAATTAATCACATGCATTACAACATTGCACATGAACTGCGTATGGATGAGCTAGGAATGTGTAGTGTGCATGTTATCTGAGCCTTACCACCATGGCCATAGTGGGCTATGTGTTTGTGTTTATTTGACATGACGGGCCTTCATGATAACAGGAAAAATAGTCTTATAACAACACAATTTATGGTAGTAAGTCCCTGTGTTTTGTGACGAGATCATTTCTGACATTTACTGCACGTTGTGAACTTTACAGCAAACATCAGGATTTGCCAGAGGGTGAGTAGTTTATGTAATTGTGCCTGATTGCCATCTAGAGAGACTGTAAATCTAATGTTACAATATAAATAAAGCCTCGTGCTTTCATTTGATCTGTATAGCTATACAGATGTGTCCATGCCTCCTTTCGGCACTCAGCTTCATTCTGCCTAAACAGATGATCCTTCTCCCTCTTCTCAAACTTCAAGTGGCCTGCTCACACTTACTCTGACCCTGTAACCATCCCTACTTTATGCCTCCTCACCTTCCTCATCATCATAGCCCACCCCTCTACTGTGCTCATGAACATGGGACTAAGGATTAGCCTCTCTCTCTCTCTCTCTCTCTCTCCCTGAACTCTCCCTCCGTTCCTCCCCTTCCAGCCTTTCAGTTCAGCGTGGGCGTCTGGTGCCTGTCAGAACCAGTGAAAACAGCTGTAATTATAATTGCACCAGCAGCTTTATGACCCTGCTCCATTGCTTTGCTCAGACAATCTTCCTATAATCACCTCCTGCAGGCTGTTTTATCTAAAGCCTGGGGGACAGCTGTGAAAGATCCCAGAAAGAGTCAAGTAATTTAAACAGAATGCATTAATATTTCTTAAAACATGCAACTATAAACTTTACTGTGCACACTATGATTATTACATCTCATGTGTAGTGTTTAGCACCAAGTTTCTTGCCATAACGGAGCTTAATTGCTGCATTTAGAAATGCAGAGAGCCACCTAGTGGTTCAGATGTGTGGGACTGTTGAAACCCTAAAGTGACTTCATGGTTATAATCCATCTGACTGCTGATCTGAATTAGATGTTTGCATTTTGATGCTACAAGATGATATGTGTTTCAGTGTTCACATTTTTTGCATTGAAGTCTCCAGAGTCTACACAGAAGCAATTTAGTGCATGATTGAGGCATACAGTGAAAGCAAAAGAAACAATTTAATTTATTAGCAAATAGAGAGGTTTACTGGATGTGTGAGGAGAGGGCTGTGTCTAACCAGTTCTCCATGTCTGAAACTGACTGGTCCTTGGAGCAACATTAGGATTTATTTGGAATCATCTTTGTGTCTGCCTGATGAGTATAAGCCCATTCACTCTGTCCTTAGTTTTGTTTTGGGCTCCACTATAGCCAGAGACTAACATCTGTTTTTGTACCTGCCAAATGTTCAGCTATGTTCATCAATAAGGTGCTGACTTTTTCTGTCTGCTGGTGAAAAGCGAGTCTCTACAAAAACAACCTAGAGCTGAAAGATGCTACAGTAAAATACAATGTAGAGCTGAAAAGTCATGTTATCAATGTCTCTTGGTTCTTTGTGACAAGTGGCCCCTTTCACCTGCGTGTATAGTCAAATGATTGATTGTTAATAAAAGATTATAGCTGCTATAAACACTGCAAATGTATTGAGTGTTCCTCAGACTTCATGTGTAGGTACACTGAAAAGAGGGTTAACTGCAGCATGTATATTTTGATCAGTAGAGTGTGACTTGCCTTTAAGTTGAGAGAGATCCAGTTCACACAAAATGCAAATGAGCTGGCTGAAGATAACATGGAAGTGTCCGGTTGGCATCCATCAGCCAGATTCTCACATACTGTACATATAGACGTACTGTTGCATTAGTCTTTGGCTTATCAATCATGAATTTGAGGCCAGCTTCGCTAATCCATAGTCAAATAATTTTCCACAGCTTCTCTTCCAAGGCTAATGTCACATCTTCTGACGTCTGTTTTAGGTTTTGATCTGAGCAGAGCTGCGCCTGGAAGCTTACATCCTCTGCAATAAGACAATGTGATTCTGATCTGCTGTGTGTTTCGAGCACATACCACTGAGGTCACCAACTGGTTTTGTGGTGATTGTGTTGGCAGATTAGTCTCTGCCCTTTCATTTAAAATGACAGCATATTATGAAGAGCCAAACCAGTTTCCTCATTTCCATCATCCTTTGGATCATAACCAGTCTCCTCTTTGCCAAAAAGCTTTTTAGCCTGCTGTCTTTCATCTGTCCTCCTTGTCTTCTCACCAGCTCACAGACAGGCCTAATTATCAGAACAATCATAACTCTTGATTCTGACAAATGCCATCAGATGAGCTGTCCCACTTGAGTGATGAATTTCTTTTTGGCCAATAAGGAATACAGTATAAAATGAAAGGACGGTTCCTCTTCAGTGTTTGTACAAACAGACATGTGCACACACAATTAGATAATGAACAGAAGAAGAACCTGCAAACAATCAGAGTTTGGCCTTGGTACCGAGGGGTTAAAATTTCTCTGTTTTTTTCTTTTTTGTATGAAGCAACATATCTGTCCCGTGAGTACTTCTTCTGTGGTTAGAGTGCAAAGTCCTTAAAGATGGAGTTCTTGCCCTGTAGCTGAGAGGCTGCAACACAAACCCAGGCTCCACTGTTCCCTCTAGACTGATGGCAGCCTCCCATATGGCTTGGTTGGCTTTGCTAAACATGCCTTCTTCAGCTATTCAAATCTGACAGAAGGAAGTGGATCTAAAATGATTTAAAATATGAATAAAAGATTCAAAACCCACAGTATTCTTCAAAACATTTTGCTGTGTAACATCATCTCCCTCCTGATAGTATCTGAGATGGTGAAGTATTTCATTGTAAACAGACAAGTGTTTCATAAAAATAGCTCCTTTCTGTTAATGACATCCAAACCTTAGTCATAAAAATCTGCTTTTCATTGTTTTTTGTTGCTGTTCCAGCTCAGGAGTAGAAGAAAAACGTTCAATGTACTGTAGCCTGACTGTAAATATTTCCTGAGGAGGTTTCCAGAGATATGTCTGTTTTTAGAATGCAGATGCTTCAGAAGAGAAAAAAGCCAACCATCTTGAGTGTAATAAACTTTAAGAGCATAACAGTGGACATGCAAGGTGTGTCAGATAAGGTTTTGAGAGGTGGATCCATATGCATGGCACAGAAGTCAGAAAGGTAAGTTTAAAGATTTGTATACAAGAACACTGCGATGGACACAAGTGAAACAGATCAGCTGGTGTATAGATCACCCAGCAGAAGAGGCTCAAACCTACAGCACCTGCTGTTCCCAGGCAGTCTCCTGTCCAGGTATTGATCAATCCCAGCCCTGCTTAACTTATGAAAACACACATGCCCTGAGCAGTGGGGCCATGGGCAGCAGGGGAAAAGAAGGACACAGGAGACAGACGACCACAGTGGAGCGATAGGTAAGATGGTGTTTATGGCAGACAATGGCGGGCCATCTGACAGTGTCCTT